ATATCCATCAAAGTTTTCTTTACAATCAATGTGGGATTAGTAGTTATACATAATTCTCAATACCTCATTCACGAGGCCAATTTTATGAGATAATTTCTTATGAAATTCTTAATGATTTTTAGTCATTCTTTTTGTGATGTGAAGATCTTGTTACAAAGAATCTAAACCTATTTGATCCCAACTCAACCAATGGTTGGAACCTACTTTAATTTCACATTAAAGTCACCATAAAATCATTTTTTCCAACAAGTTGTACCGTCTTACTCTTCCAAAGTAGGCCCTTCTATCAATGGTGACAACGTCTCTACTGGCCTCAAGCTTTCGGATCTAGAAATTTGCTTCGATCTGTTTCTTGATTCCCTCAGTGAAATCACTAACGACGAGAGGAATCTTCGACACTGACTCGATCCGGTGACCGCGAGCCATGACGAGGAAAGAAACGGTGGAGGCGATGATGTAGCACGATGTTGATGTGATGGTATCAGATCTCTTCTCTTCGCTCATCTCTCTCTCTTTCTCTATGATTGAGGTTAGGGTTTTAACGGTGGGTGTGAAACAAATAAAGACAGAAGGGGGATAATTTAGTGATTAAGGTTAGGGTTTCAACGGTAGGTGTGAAACAAATAGAGACAGAGAGGGGCTGATTTAGAGAGAGAAAAAGTAGGTTTTGAGAGGCTATGTTTGGCTTTTTTAGTTATTTAGTCAAACAAAAGACAAAATAAGTAAAAAGTTAAGATAAAGTGGCATATTCAAATCATAATTATTTTATTTTTTCTTTTACAAAAGTCAAAAAGTTCATTCAAACGAGACTTTTTAACCTCAGGTTAAAATAATCAAAAAATTAATCCACATTTCAAACGAATCCAAAATGATAGTTTCGTCATTTTTATAGAGTGATGTCTTTATGAGCATACCATTTTAACACCTGAATCTTTAGATAAAAAAAAATCTAAAATTAAATTCATTGTCCGAACGCTTTTTTACTTATAGATTATAAACTTTCAACTCAACGAGATGAAACAAGCATGCCTATTAATTAGCATAATACTAATTAGAGAAATTTTAGTCCATAAGCAAGTTACGAAGCTTTATACCGTTAAGGAAAATGATGAACATTTGTGTTGGTAAGCACTCTGAAGCCGTCTCTAAAAAAAAAAAAAAAAAAACAGTAAAATTTTTTTAAAAATAGATTAAAAAAATTAATAATAAATGCAATAAAATAATATAACTGTGTGATGAATTTAACTTTTTAAATATATTATATATATATATATATAAAGAGTGTTTAAAAACTATTCGAATTAATGAAACGAAATCCGTGATAGAACCATGAACTTGGACAATGTCTTTCTAGTTCAGATAAGACTAGCGAGAAGCCCACCCCCTTTTTAAATTATAAGCCAGATATTTTGGTTTAAAATCAAGGTTTAGCTATGTTTAGGGGAACTTCAGTTGGAGGTATTTATTCAGTAATTCCGAAGTATAGACACATAATATTTCATAGTATTGTGATTGGTGAAAAAGGTGGGTAAGTGGGTCTTGTGTTGGGTAATTGAAAAACATGAAGAGACATATTAAATGATGATTGGTTAAAAAATATGGATATGTGATACTCCAGGTACATTCTATAATTTCTCATTGGGGTTTTAAGTTTTTTTTTTTTTTTCTGACTAAGATAGCCAATAAAAAAATTAAAAAAAAAAAACAAAAATAGTTAATAAGATAAAATATCACATCTTACACATCAATCAATTATTTTTTCTCTTATAACTATCTATATAACTACAAAAAATATTCACAAATCATTCCAAACATAACTTTTTTCCATCTCATAAAATAATCAAAAAGCTAACGAAAATGGCCAAATTTCCAAATGAGGCTAAACTAATAAAATTTCCTGTATCTTTACTCATAAGTGATTCAATTATTTCTTATTTATTTATTTATTTTTTTTAAAAAAAAAATCAAAATCCAAACACAATCTTACGAATCTCACAGCAATTTGTTTGACAGCAGGACTATGCAAAATACCACACAATCCATTAAAATCGCACTAATCTACATCAATCCATACCGTTCTATCCACTAATCGCGAATTAAATTTTATGGTGAATTACACCCACGGTCCCTATATTTGGGATTTGTATCATTTTAGTCCTTGACTTTTTAATTGTAACACATTTGACCCTAAATTTTGAATCTTGTTCCAAATAAAGACAATTGAAGATATTATTGAATTTTTCAAGGGCAAATTCGTCAATTTGATAAAATATAAATTAATTTGACAAAAATAAATGTCAAAAAATTATTTTTGAATTTTTTAAAATTATTTCTACCTATTAAAGATAAAATTATATAAAATTAATAAATCTTTTAGAAATTTATGTTTTTTACCAAATTAATTTTTATTATGTATTTGAATGATGATCATGTAAAATTAATTTCAAAAAATTAATCATGTAATTTTTATTAATTTTACATAATTTTATCTTTGGTGGGTAGAAATAATTTTTAAAAATTTTAAAATATTTTTTGTAATTTATTTTTGTCAAATTAGCTTATATTTTATCAAATTGACAATTTTACCCTTAAAATTAAGCACTAGTATGTTCAATTGTCTTTATTTGAAACAAGATTCAAAATTCATTGTCAAATGTGTCACAATTGTAAAGTCAGGGACTAAAATGACACGAACCCCAAACTATAGAGACTATTAGTGTAATTTTTTCTAAATTTTAAAATTTATAATCCGCTTTCGAAACCGTTCCGTTCAGCTATAATTAATACATATATAATTTTTAACCTATAATAAAATATCAAAGTAAAAAAGAGTATGAGAGAGATTTAATATTTGAATTTTATTATTACAAATTAGTAGTTATATATATGAAAAATAAGTAAAATTAATTTGTGTTATATGCATAAAAAATATTTTACAAATTAGTGTTATATATTATGAAAAACTTGATAATTTGTTTGAATATTCTTCAATTTATCCAAAACCTTTCAAACCACAATTTGTCAATCCACTACTCAATTTATAATTTTACTCTCAAATCGCTTGAACCGCACTACGCGCACTCCTAATTGTGAAGGCTATTTTTAACGTTCATGGCTTAAAAACGCTCCAATAAAATTGTAAGCTTCCCTTTGAAGCGCTCCAAACGTCGAAGCCTCTCCTTTATTTGGGCATCTCATGTTGCATGATCTCGCTCATATACCCCCTTAACAGTGGCATATCAACTACATGGTGCTTCTCTTGGCCCCATGTTCAGGACTCGAGCCTACCTTAGATACCAATTGATGTAAGGAAGCGTATCGGAAAAACAAGCAAATAATAAGATCAAATTACAAACAAATCCGAATTGGAAATATTTTTTCTAAGAACGAATAATTTTGAGAAAATTCTCAATTTTTATTAATCAAATATAAAAATTGAACTTTATAACCCTAAGGCTTATAACTTTATTTATAATTAACCTACTTCAAAAACAAGAAACTAATAAAATAGGAAACAAAAATTAATAGAATAAGAAAATTGCATCAAATCAAATTAAGAAACTAAATAAATCTATACTATTCTATACTAAATTAAATATGCCTACCTAAATATTAATTTTAAAATATAAAATAAAAATATATAATATTTTTAAATGGCAATCTGCATCATGATATGATATAACTTAACCAGCATTGGTTTTGGATATATTTTTGCCCGCTTTTGTATAATTTGGAATTTTCTATTTTGGGATTTATGTGGGTGCGTTTCAAATTCAACTCTAATTGTGTCTAAGGGCTCGTTTGAGAATAAGTTATTTTAATAATTTTTTAATTAAAATATGAGACAAAAAATTAATATATTTGGAATGAATTTTTAATTTTTTATTAAAAGATGTACAAAAAGTAAAGAGTAAAAGGAATCTTTAACTTTTTGATATATTATAGACTTTTTAATTTTTTTAATAACTTTTTAATTTGTAAGTTAAAGCAGACACATGGCAGATGAGACCTTAAACTCATTAGTAGAGCTTATATGACCTGACATGATCTGACCCATTATTAGTTCAACAATGATAGAGACTACTAATTTTGGAGCTTTAAAAAGATCACTAATGACATGACACTTAATAAAAAAAGAAAAAAAATACAACACCAAGGCCAATACATCAAATCATTCATGGTGGGACCCACTGCCACATCATTAGTGGTAGCACTAATTAGTGCTCTCACTCATTTTCCTTATAAGTTTTGGGTCTTTTTCTACCCCATTTGGTTTAATTTCGATTATTTTATTTTGAATTTTTTTTCTTTTTTGTTTTAAGATCTTCTATACATAAACAATTATGTGGTATTTTGGAAAGATAATAAAAAGTTAGTAATTTTATTTTATTTTTTTGTAATTTTTTTTGGCTTTTTGGGTTTAGAAAAGAAAAATAATCCGGACCCCTTTTTCCCCCAACCCCCACGACTCCCTCTTGGATTGATTGGCCAAATTTTTTTTTTTCCCCTCCTCTTCCAATCACCAACCCCATGTGTGTGTGAGGGTGGTGGGGGTTGGTGATTGAGGGGGTTTCAATCATACCTCTTTAAAAAATAAGAGAGATAATTTTTTACCCCTTAAAAAAGTCAAAAGGTCCAGAAATTGATTTTTTACTAACTTGTCAAAACACCCCTATAGAGAGAATATACAATATTTACAATGAAATTCATCTGTCGTTTTTAACCAATAAACATAGACTAAGGAGTGTTTTGAGAAGTTGGTAAAAAGTTAATTTTTTAATTTTTTTAGTCTATTTTTTCTTTTTGTGAATAAAAAATATAAGAGATGATATAACTCAAAATGAGTAAAAAATTAAAAACTGACTTTTTTTACTATTCTCAAAAGACCCCCAAGTCCAACCATGTAAATCCTTCTGTCTTTGTTTTATTTTACTATTTCTTAATTTTTTGGTTCGGCCATAACATCTCTTTGATTAGTTTTTTAGGGCTTAGCCAAAAACAAAAATCAAAAAAAAAAAAAAAAAAAAAACAAACAAACAAACAAAAAGGAGCAATCCTTTCCAATTAGTACTACTTATAAACATCAAAATGTTTAAAAATAAAAAAATAAAAAAATCTCATCCATAACACATTTTAAGTCTATGTTTGGATGGCCAAAATCTAGAGCGGGAATGAAAAGAAATCCCAGTCAAGTGCTTCGATAATTCAGGAATCTTATGCAAGAAAAAAATATTAAAATGCATTCAAGTGTTTGATTTAACCTTTTTAGAACATAGAAATGGAATAAGGTTTTATATAATTGTCTAAAACACTCTTTGTTCATCACCTTGGACGAAAGAGAAAGCGGGAGAAGATTTCAAGAGAGAGAATAGGTGTTTCTATTTTTATTTTTTTTGATAAATATGAATAGGTGTTTCTATTTTATTAGGTGATATAGTGGGAATTTATTATTATTAGAGTCCACATTTTCTTTTTCTTTTTTCTAGATTGAGTTGGAATATGAGACTACCATTGGAGGAGGGTGGGGATTTGATTATTGCTTAGTTTGGAAAATGATTCTAGATTGAGCAAGTCATTAGGAATTACTTTCTTTTTCAATCCATTCCAAACAGTAGATTCATGGGACCCAGAATCACATTTCCGTTCACCTTCAACATTTTTGTCATCCACGAGCTACATCGAGGAAAGAAAAAAATTAAAGACCATATCATCCTATTCCCCCATCCAAGAATAAATGACCAAAATTTGTAAATGGATAAATCCACACCCTCCCCTCTCACATGGAGGAGGGTGGGGATTTGATTATTGCTTAGTTTGGAAAATGATTCTAGATTGAGCAAGTCATTAGGAATTACTTTCTTTTTCAATCCATTCCAAACAGTAGATTCATGGGACCCAGAATCACATTTCCGTTCACCTTCAACATTTTTGTCATCCACGAGCTACATTGAGGAAAGTAAAAAAAATTAAAGACCATATCATCCTATTCCCCAATCCAAGAATAAATGACCAAAATTTGTAAATGGATAAATCCACAACCTCCCCTCTCACATAGGTGGGCCCCACAACGTGTGAAAGTGCTGTGGATGAAGCCATAGAGGCTATGATCTGAGCATTTTCCATCTTGTATTATTTCCTTTTTCCTACAATCAGTTTGTAGCAATCAGAAACTCCTCAACTCATGACATTAATCTGTATCTTAGTCTATGTTATGTGGACTCAGGTATCGATGCGGGTGTGTGTCTAAGCATTAAATCTTCCTAAATATTTGGATATTGGGACACATCTAAAAGTGGGTACAATAAGTAGAGACGTTTGGAATATTTAAATGTATTATATATTGTATGAATTATGACACAAGATGCTGTAAATTATGAGGAATATAATTGAATTTATAAGGGAAAAAGGGGGACTTCTATCTCTCATCAATGTTAGAGGCTAGAAAGTTTTATTTACTACCAAAATGTGAGTTTCTTCTTCTTGAAACATCGTAAGAATTAGAGGACTTACCCTAGTTAGAGCAATAAACTCTGTGTACTTTTTAAAGCTGAATTGCTTTTGGAGGCTCATCACAGACTTATCCTAGTTAGAGTCAAAAGAAATGGATTTCACACGTTTCAAGAACTTTCTCCCATTCATCTGTAGCCTCCACTGGATAACAAAATTTCTCTTGTTGAATTTTCTTCTTGATGGCTCTGTGGTAGACTGCAGATTTTTTGCTCCCAATCCTTCACTTTTTCCATCATCAAATTTAGATTTGATGAAAAAGTGCTCAAAAATCATCTCCAGTTCTTTCATCAAATGTTCATCCAATCAAGAGAGAGTCATTTTTTTCATCAAATTTGAATTTGATGAAAAATTAAAAAGATGAAGCGCTGGAGGTATTTTTTTCATCAAATTTGATGAAAGGGGAAATTTGGTACAAGAGGATTGATAAAAGGATTGGAGTAATTCATATCAAATCAAGCTTTTTACTTAAATTTGGAATCAAATTAGATGAAAAAATTGATGAATGATTGGAGATGCTTTATTCCTTTATATTTATGGTTAAATGAAATCATTAGTGAATGCAAATGACTCCTGGATGGAAAAATTCAGTAGGTTTTCAGACAGAAAATGACTGAGAAAAAGCACAAGAAATTAGGATTGACTTTCAGATAAAAGTTAAACTCAAACACACCACCCAACTCCTTTGTATATATATATGTATAATTATATATGTGAAATTAAATACGATGATAAAATAGAATGAGTTATCAAGTACTTACCATCCTCCCCACTAAAAGAAAAGAGTTAGTTTAATAATAGATGCACGAAAATTTTTGTCTCTTTATTACACTTTAAAAACCACAACATTCCTGTAACAAAAAAACCCACAACATAGACACAAACAGTTATATTTCGCTTTTGGTGCTATATTTCACTCGAGCAAATGACTTAATGGGAATAACAAAAGAACAAAAGCCCTCAACACCATTGTTAACTGATTATCTATTGCTATCCATCTTACAAAAGAGTGCAGAAGATTTACCATGATTGACAAATACAGAAGTGCTTCCACTGTTTTCTGTAGGCATTTTTACTTCATTGTCAGATGTAGAAACCTCTAATGATTGCTTCTCGTTGGAGAGGAAATTTCCAGTATTGCCTTCCATCGATACTGGACTGAATAACCATTCCCTATTGCTACGACACAATACTTGTTGACAAGTGTTTCTCTTTAACAGTCCTCACCAAGTTGTGTTACAAGGTGTGGAAACCTGGAAAGCAGCAAGGTCTTGAATGCAACTGCTGCTCTGCATAAAATGAGTTCCTACTACAAAAAGACCGACCGAAAAATAGCAGGCAAGAAAATTAGAATAGCAATAGTAGATGCTCTTTCAATATCTCAAGCTATATAGGAAATAATAACAGGATGATCATTGAAGCCAACCTCTACATGATACTGACTTTTTAGGATAATTCTCAAATTGTTCACAAATCAGAAACAATATAACTCAATAATGGCAATTCGTTTTTGGGCAAATTACATTTTACCCCCTTGAACTATTACTTAATATTACTTTACCCCCGTCAACTGAAAAATGCTTTCACTAATGATCTCACCATTTTCAAGTAGTTCGCATGAATGCATGAGAAACTCTCCCCGGAGATAAAAAAGCACCTTGGACTATAATTTGTATCAATATGTACCTTCCATTAAGGATCCATTATGTAGATAGATAGGAAAATGACATATGACTTGCAGATGACATCTCAAATACAGTGGATTGCCTCTTTTTTCTTCTTTTCTTCTATCCGTGGTGGCAACGATGGCAGCCATGGCTGCTGACATGGGTACGAGAAACAAGGGAAGGAGAAAGAGAAAAGGAGAAGAGAAGAATAAGGTCATTTATTTCACAATATTTAAGATGTCATGTGTAAGGCACATGACAATTTTCCATCCATTTATTTAACATATTCTTAATGAAAGATTCACATTGATACAAATTGATAGTTCAAGATGGTAACGTGTAGCATTTTTCAGTTTAGGTGTAAAATTATACTGAGTGATAGATAGTTCAAGGGAGTAAAGTGCGAACATTTCATTAAAGACTGCATTAAAGAATGCCACCTGTGTAAAAAAGTGAAGCAGTGCAAAAGAGCTTTACAAAATCTAAGAATTGGTCAAGAGACAAGTTAAGTGATAGTTCACGAGGGTAAAGTGTGAACATTTCATTAAAGGCTGCATTTAGGAATGCCACCCGTGTACAAAAGTAAACAAATATATATATATATATGCACCACGTGTGTAAAAAAGCTTTACAAAATCTAAGAATTAGTCAAGAGACAAGTTAATAACTACCGACTCCCAACTATGCAAAAAAAAAAGCTTACATGTACTTTTAAGCCAATACAAAGAAGCCTCCATACCATGGAATATTTACAATTCTTGCTCTCCGTCAAATAATCCACATAATGAGAAAGGGATCAAAAGATACAACTTCTTCCCTTCATTTTCCTATTCTAGCCCCCCTGCCAACTATAAAAAAGCTCAACTATTTTGAAGGGGCATGCTGCTTTACACTAAATTTCAAGGAATCAACGTCCAAAGCTCATTTTCTATTTGGTAGTGAATGAGACGGTTATTGGAGTATGTGTGAAGGTAAAGTCCCACATCGGATAAAGAGTAAAAGAGATAGTTCTTAATATATATAAGATAGGCTCTCCACTTATAGGCTTAAGCTTTTAAGTGGGTATAAGTTTCAAATAATGCATGTTGTTGGGCCTTGATATGATATTTTGTGGACTCTGAAGTTTCTCCCTGATAAATTAGATCGGTATTGTTGTGTGCTTGTGGGCTTCCTAATTCCCTAACAATTGGTATTAGAGCCAATGGCTAGCGATCTACGGACGGGGCTCTTCTAAAGCATTGATGTTGTTGGCCTTGGGTTTGCACGGAGACTCTTGGTGGAGCAAGAAAAATCCATGACGACTCTTGTTGGAGTAAAGAAAATTCTTGGAGCACATGGCAAGGTTGAAACACGACAAGGTGGCTCTCAATGGAGTATGGTGGCTAACGATGGAGTGTGTGCAGGGCCCAAGCTGGACTCGATGTTATAGAGTTATAGATCAAGATTAAGGGGAGCGCATAGATCTATAATAAACTTGCTAATGATAGATCAGAATCGAGGAGGAGTAAGGTGAGGCCTGATGATTGGTTCACTCATGAGGAGGGGTTTGTTGGAGCATGTCTGAAGGTAAAGTTCCCACATCGAATAAAGAATCAAATAGATGGGTCTTAATATACATTAGATAGACTCTCCACTTATAGGCTTAAGCTTTTAAGTCAATATGAGTTCCAAATAATATATATTAGGCCTTGATGTGCCGTCTGTGGACTCTAGAATTTTTTCCTGATGGATTGGGCAGGTATTGTTGTGCACTTGTGAGCTCCCTAATTCCCTAACAACTGGTATTAGAGTCGATGGCATACAATCTATGGACGGGCTCCTCTGGAGCATTGATGTTGGTGGGCTTGGGCTTGGGCTTGGGCTTGCACGGAAACTCTTGATTGAGTAAGAAAAATCTATGATGACTCTTAGTGGAGCAAAGAAAAATACTTGATGCACATGGCAAGGTTAGACCACGACAAGGTGGCTCTCAATAGAGTATGGTGGCTCACAATGGAGTGTGGGGGGGTGGTCCAAGCTGGACTCGATGTTAGAGTGTTATAGATCAAGATTAAAGAGGGGTGTGTATGATCTAGGATGAACCCTGTTGATGATAGATCAAACTCAAGGGGGAGCAAGGCAAGACTCAATGTTTGGTTCACATAAGAAGGGGAGATTGTTGGAGTATGTGTGAAGGTAGAATATCACATCGGATAAAAAGCAAAAGAGATAGGTCTTAATATACATATAAGATGGGCTCTCCACTTATATGCTTAAGCTTTTAAGTAGGTATAAGTTCCAAATAATGTATGTTCGGCCTTGATATGGAATTTTGTGGACTCTGGAGTTTCTTCCTGATAAATTGGATTGGTATTGTTGTGTGCTTGTGGGCTTCCTAATTCCCTAACAACGGTGACTCACCAATCCGCTCTCCTGCTTATACATGCAACACCAATTCACAAATATGTGTCTTATAGATCAAATTATCAATTGTGAGCATTTTACCATGAGTTGCACAACACTGGGAGGAAAAGGAAAAGAATACACCTTGTGGGGAACCATACGACCCCAACATACCTCTCCATAGAAACAATGAAGTGTGTCAAGTAATCAATGCCTCCTAAAAAAAGCACCCTGATCGAGATAGATTTCATCTCAAAAAGAGTCTTCCCCTGATCCAATACTCAATATCTTGTGTAATTTCTCTAAGATCCTTGTCAACTCTATCAATTCCCAATCTTGAACCTCTTGCATAGCAAGATATCCCAACACACTTGAGTACCCTCTTTGTGATAAACAATAATCAAGTATCAACCACTATAGCATTCCTAATTTCCTATCCACTATCAAACACACACCATGCATGAGATCAAAAACTTCATCATTTTTGTGTCATGCCCTATGGCAGTACCAATTTTCCCCATAAACTTGTCACGTTCTTTTCTAATACCTCTCCAAATGTTTGCTCCATAAAACATAGACACTCAAGAGAATTCTAATCCCTCTAAACACCCACACTTCACAGCCACCACCCATTTCCACCATCTATGCCTTTCGTATAGGAATACCCCACAACCACTTTTTCAAAATGTTTGATTAAAAAATTTCTAACTTCCTTATACCATATCTCCTTCTCTAACATGAGTACAAATTGAGTCTCAATCTACCGCATGGCTACTTGAATTCATCCCCACCAACAAACCCCTCTCTATAGCTCTTTCCAACCTCTTAGCAGCGAAGGAAGGAATGGTAAACAAGGATATAAAATATGGGGCAAACTATATAATGGTAATATTACAAAAGTTTTGTATCTCAAAGTAAAATGGTTGTTATCTGGTTCAATGTGCTAACATTCTTTAATAATGAATTAAATTTTTAAATCAATTTGATTCCTCAGTAAATGGTCAAATATTCCCCGTTCAATTTATAATTTAGTGATAAGTACTAATTTAATTTTAAAGACTATATACATAAAATTATAAAGTCCTAATTTTGCATTGTCCCTTACCAGAATAGTTTCATGTTCATAGCAAATATATATGCTCCATTGTCCTCTAGGATTATTGACCAAATAAAATTAATGAGGTGACCTTTAGGATGTTAGCATTGAATTGGGTTGAGTAAAGCATAGCAGTACAAAAAATTGTCCCAATCCAAAAGCAACCTGCTTATAATGGAGGCCAAACAACCAGAACCTGAGACGATCATTTCAATTTCTTATGTCACCCCAATTTCAAACCTAATATTGTCGGCCCATTTCATATAACATTTTCATTGCCGCTAAACAATGTAAATTGCATGTAACTACTAAAATGTATGTGATGAGTAAAAACTCAAGTTACATTTTCACCATGCAATGTGTTTTTACTACACAAAATAAGCATATATTCATTTTCAAACCAAAACCTAAAAATTAATATCATAATCCACACAGGGAGGCACAGCCGCATATGTTATTTTTTGAATTTGGCATGGGCTTCTTCTCTTTTAAATTTGTGTGCCCCATAGCTATACTATCTGTACTGTATTATGATGTGAGCATTTTATTTGGTGTGAACACTAATCTAAGTTGTCACGTTCAATAGATGTAAGGGGAAAAAATGAAAAAAATTAACTCTACATTAACTCTCCACGTCCATCTGTTTAACTCCCTGTCCATATTACAGTTGCAACTTGCAAGTGGTTTTTAACTTTTCTCTCTCACAAATCTTAAAACTACAAAATTTTATTTCTCACAAATATCAGTTCAAACAAGAAGAGAGGACAGTGAAACCATAAGAGAGAGAAGATGGATGAGAAAGGAGATGGATGAGAGTGAAGAAGGATGGGAGTGGAGAGGAGATGTTTTGCAATTTGCACATGCATTGCATGTGCACAACTGCTAGTTATCAATTATTGGAGGATAGTCTGTATTTCACTCATGAGGAACTTGGAAAGAACAAAACAAAGTGAGAATTGCAAATGTTATCCATGGTTTTTCTTTTCTTTATTCCCTAGTAGAAGTGAATACTCTGCAGACATATCAAAAGCACGGACATGCAAACTCAAAACAACACACAAACCCAACCAAATTCCAAGGTGTATGTACTTGACATTGGAACTTCTTTCTCTTTGTTCCCCTACGTTTTTCTTTGGCCAGTTTAGTTGGCAATGTGTACATAGAATCATGTGGAAGTCTCCAATAAAATACTGAAATTTTCAAAGGAGATCTAGAATGTCCTTACAATGAAGATATGCTACAACTTTCATTCCTAACAGGTGCTTCAATATTATAGCGTTTTTCCTTGTGTCTCAAAAGGCAACAAAGGAGCTCCTCTCTCTCTCTCTCTTTCTCTCTCTCTCTCAAAGGCTACATGTTTTCAATTGTCTCAAGAATATACTCAAATGTTTTATATTTCCTTTATTATTCTTTTGTTTAATGAGGAGTCCTACAAAAAGTAGAAGCAAGAGTTAGAATTCTACAACTGGTGCTAAATCCAAACTATCTAGAAGATTCCAAGTTTTCATTCCTTGTAACCAATCCTACCCTCGACCTCAAAACAAGCTATCTAATCCGAAAGAATAAAAAGATCAATAGCTCCTTTTCCTGTTCTTCATCAGCTCACATCTAAATGTAGCAATATTAGTCACAGTTGATGCTCCAAAATTCCAAAATAAAAAATAAAAGACTTCATTATCATCTCAACTCAACCAACAAGTCTTTTATCATAATTATTTGGGATTGGCTACATGAATCAATTTCTTCTAGTTGATTCTATTCAAAGTCATATCCTCCATTAATTTTTGAGGTAATCATATCATTTCTTGTCATCTCAATCCATAATCTCCTTGGCCTACTTCTATATGTTTTACCATCCTCCATGTAAAAATCACTTCTTTTTATAGGCGCATTAAATGGTCTATGATGCATATGGTCATACCATCTCATATTGTTTTTCCTTTAATTGGTACCACTTCTAACTCCTTTCTAATTGATTGAATTCTTATTGTATTTTTCCATGTAACACCTTCCATTCATCTCAACATTCTCCTTACCGTTGCACTCATTTCCAGAACATATGTTTTTCATAACCACCCAACATATAGTACTATACATCAAAGCAAGTCCAATCATAATAAAATTTTCATTCAACTTAATAGGAATCTTACAATCACACAACACTCCCGATGCAATCCTCCATTCATCTATTTCGCTCTATTTCTATGCTTCCAAAATTATATCAATCGTTATAAATAATTTACCAAATATATCGAAAATTGTTATTCTTAGGTATCTTTTGGCCATCAAGTTTACTCAATCTTCATCGACTCTTCCATTTTTGCTAAATTTACACTTCATATATCCGGTCCTAGTCCTACTTAATGTCATCCTTTTGGTCCAAGCGCTATTTGACTGTCATTACTAATTCCACAACATGCAAGAGAATTCCATAATTCAGTATCAACCTAAATTTAGGGTAAACCAGGCAGTTAATAACTTCCTCACAACCATCCACTTCCAAATAAATAAAGAAATTAATCATTCCATCAAAATTGAGGACCCAAAAAAAAAAATCAATGACATGGTAATAGTATAAATTTTTATGAATTTATTACTTCAAAAAAACCATAATTTTGTCCTGTTTCTCATTGGCTCACCAAGTTCAACAATTGTAGACCTCAAATCTTAATATCTACTCAAACATTGATTTAATTACTAATTCAGATGGAAATTAACTAAAAACAACACATGCTTTGAAACAATGTGAAAAATTAAAACCCAAAAGATATCACATGCAGTACAGCACAAGAAATCCTAAAATTCCAAGAAAATCCTCATAAACTGCAAATCCTAGACAAAACCCACAAAAACCCATTACTCTTTTTCCAAGAATTGGCAATGCAATGGCTTTTCTTGAGACTCAGAAGACTCGTACGCAAACTCCAAAAAAGCAAGCAAAAAAAGAAAAGCAAAGCAAAGAGATAGAAAGGGAAGAGACTTACCTTGATGAGGCTTTATTGGAAGATGATGATGATGAGATCAAAAAGAGAAGAAGAAAGAAATAATCAAGCGAGAAAATGTGTATACGTTTTTCTTTGTATGTTTTTTTTTTTCTTTCTGGTTTTGTTCGCCTGGCCTCCGGTTTATAGTTTTCACTGTGTATTCTGACTGGCTCTCTCTCTCTCTCTCTCTCTCGATTAAAGGTTTCAAATTAAACTGTTTATAAACGGCTTGATTTCTTCTGAATGGTTATACCATAATCTGATCTCGTCTTTCTTGTTATATGTGAATTGTATGTGTGGAGGCTACGTTTGGCGTGGAAGTTCCGTTTGGTGGACTTTTTAAAATATAGTTTTATATTTATTTTTAAATGTAATATTTGTTTAGTATTTTTAAAAATTAATTTTATATTTACTTTTAAAAATTCTTTGTAAAGCGGAAAAATTTGAATTAGTTGGTCGCCTTACAGGTTGATCAGGACAGTGTTCGATTATTTATTTTTTTTACACTTGTTATTTTTATATTATAAAAAAATATTTGTGAAATTTTTTAAATTTTTTTTATAAGTTTTAAATAGAATTTTGAGTTATGTGTTTGATTATAAATTATAAGTTTTTGTATCAAACATCATATGTCACATCACTCAATTCAAACTCAATTTAAAACTCTTTTCAAAACTCATAACCAAACAAATTTTTCGCACTCAAATCATAATTTTAAAACTCAAAAACTCAAAATAAAATCATATTCTCAAATCATAATTTTAAAATTCTACCAAACATACAAAAGCCAAGGCAAATTAAAAGTAATTTGCAAGGGCATGCTAGTTATTTGAATATACCTGCATTTGTAGACCATGGTAAAAGGAATAATTACTTGATAATTTTTTTCTCTTAAATATTTATAAAAAGAAAAAGAATCAAATGACTAAAAAGGGTGGATTTTACCTATGGGAGGTTTCCCTCCAGTTATATAGTGAACTAGAGTATATTATTGGACTTGTGAGGTTATTACGAATTTCGTTTCAATAATTTGAATCGTTTAATATGTAAAATTTATTGAGCACTTTATGTCTGTAAAAAATTATAGTGATCGGATGATAACATCTTGATCGGAACATATTTTTGTCAATGGTAAATATAATTTTAAAAATAAATTATTAACAAAAATGTATACCGATCAAGGGGCTACCGATATTCAATCAATATGATTTTTTAAGGATACAAAGTAGTCAACGAACTCTACACATTGAATGGTTAGAATTATTAAAATGAGACTCATGATAGACCCTATAAATTCAACAATATATTCCAATCTATTATGTAGACGGGAGAGAAGCCATCTCTATCACCTAATAATGTAGATTTTTTTCTTTTCTTTTTAAAGTGATTATACAACTCATTCTGACTGCAAGTAAATTATAAGATTAATTACTTTTTCTAGTCTTGGATTTGTGTCATTTAGCCTTCGTTTGGAAAGTGGGTTGATTTTTTAACTTTTTGATTTTTTTAATTATTTTAACTTGGAGTTAAAATGATTAGTTTGGGAAGGTGTTTTTGGCTTTTTAATTTTTTGGTGAGGTGTCCATAAGTAATATTACTTAGGCCTAGTTTAGAAAGACTAAATAAGTGCACTTTTTGACTTTTTTTGTATTATGTATAGAAAAAGTAGAGAGGAGATGTTGATTGATGTGACCCAAAAAAAATAAAAAGATAAAATAAGTGCACTTTTTTCTTTGTAGCCAAACTTGACCTAAATTGCTCCTACAACTAATTTTGTCCAACTGTGACGTCACCACGCACTTTCCCCTTTTTTTTAAAAAAAAAATTTATTTTTATTTCGGCGGCTGTGCTATGGAATTGTTGACCCAAATGGTTTTTTTGGTCATTTTAATATTTGTTTTTTTATTACATTAATTTGGTTTTGTTTTGTATTTTTTTTTGGTCTTGGTTTTTTCATGTGTTTTTTATGTTGATTTTAAATTTTTTTTTTTAATTTTCTGTAAAATGATAAAAAGTGAGGTTTTAAATAATTGTCCTGTGTATTTTAAGGTCTTATTTTTTTTATTTTTTTTGCAAATGGTTTTTTTATGTGTTTTATATTTTTATTTTATTTTTTTTTAATTTTTTTTTTCATTTTCTGTAAAATGATAAAAAGTGAGGTTTTAAATAATTGTCCTGTGTATTGTAAATAATTTTATTTTAATTTTATTTTATATATTTAAATATTCAAAAAATTTAAATAATTTAAAATGTTAATATTTTTAATTTAAAAATAACTCTACACTTAAATCGTAACCAAACACATAAAACAAAACTTAATTAATTTTTAATTTTAATTTTATTTTAAATATTTAAATAATGTAAATAATCTAAAAAATTTACCGTGGCAAAAAATTAAAATAAATATTCAAAAAATAATTTTAACAAAAAAATTTAAATAATTTAAATATTCAAAAAATTTAAATAATTTAAAATGTTAATATTTTCAATTTGAAAACAACTCTACACTCAAATCGTAACCAAACACATAAAATAAAACTCAATTAATAAATTATTTTTAAAACTCATAACCAAACACATAACTCGAAACTCCATACTACTTTCACAACTCTACACTCAAATCATAACCAAATACATAACAAAAAAAATTAAAATATTTAAAATATTTTTATAAATAGAGTTTGAATTTATTTTTATAAAATATTTTAACAAAAAATAAAAAAAAAAAGTTTTTAAATTTTTTTTTTCAACTTTCTTTGTTTTTTCCTGGGAAAAAGATTTTTTTGGGAAAATGTTTTTTTTTTTTACTTTTCATGTGCTGAGGCGTTGCCCATAATTCTTGTGGGATAATTTCGTAAATTTACGTTGCCCTTGATTGTTGCCCAGCACCTCACAACTTTTTGTCCTCACTTGGCTAATTAAGCCTGTTTTGTCCTCACTTGGCTAAAATAGCCCAACCTTCCCTTCCCAAAGGCAGGCTTAATACTTTGATAGTTAGGCCTCGTTTGAGAACAGGCTTTTATAGTAATTTTTTAATTTTTTAGCTAAAATATGTTGTAAAAAAAATTAGTATGTTTATGATGATTTTTTGACTTTTTACGAAAAAATGTGTAAAAAGTATAGAGAAAAGGGAATTTTTGATTTTTTGATATGGGTTGTTGACTTTTTAATTTTTTTAGTAACTTTTTAACTTTTTTGACTAAAAATAACACTTGCCAAACGAGGCCTTAAATTGTGTCAATTTTATTTTTAACGTGTTTCAAATTGGTTATCCATATAGATGCCATTAAAATTAGGGATAGATGTATAAATTCATATAAAAGATGATCCGTCAAGCCTCATTGGGCGACTAAATATTTTAATTAAAAAGTCAAAAAAATATTAGGGTATTGATTTAGACCCCCTTAAAACACTCACCCCCACAACCTCCTCACACACATGGAGGTTGGGGATTGGGTGAGAAAAAAAAAAAAAAAAAAAGGAAAAGTTGACCAATCAAAACCAAAGGGGGTCAAGGGGGTGATCCCCAAAGAGGGTCTCAACCTTTATTCAAATTATTATAAGTTGTCACATTAATCTCTCTATTTTTAGGACCCAGTGTCATTACTGTGCGTAAAGCACAGCAGTGACTGTTGTGCGGCCCGTGGAACTCATTTCGGGTCTTATTTTGATGATCTGAATTGTTCAAATTTTAAAAAATATCAGAAACAATATACTTGTAAAAAATTAAATTAATCAGATATCAATAACCTATTCATCAAATAACATTATATTAAAAAAAAAATGAATATGTATGTATGAAACTAAATACAAATGTTATTTGATAAGGACGTTATTAATATCCGATCAACTTGATGCTTTATAGGTATATTGTTTTCGATATTTTCTAAACTTTCAACGGTTCGGATCGTCAAAATAGGACCCGAAATGAGTTCCACAGGCCGCACAATAGTCACTGCTTCACGCACAGCAGAGACACTGGATCCTTATTTTTATTAGCATCTTTTTGTAAAAAGTCAAAAAATTATTAAAAGAACATGTTCCTAAATGATAGGGCTGAGCAAAGAATCCGTGAAATCCGTAATCCGATCCAGTCCAGTCCAATCCGATAGGTTTGGATTGGTTTTTTGAATCCGTGGTTCGGTTCTGGATTGAACAATTAAGAATTCGTAGTCCACGGATTGGTTCCGGATTGAACTCCACGGTTCTGGATTGGAACCGATCCGGACCGTATACAAATAGTCTATATTTTTATTATACATTATCCCCATAGTATCTTCTCTTATTCCATATAAAATCTAAACTCAAACCTAAACCAGCATAATATCTTCTTTTATTACTTTTGTTTGTTAGTTTTTAGTTTTAATTTGTAATGGTTTAATACTTATGGTGAAACTAATTTTCTTATGGTTGTTTAAATTCTAGAACAGTATGTCGCTATTATAGAAAGACATGTTGCTATTGTGGAACTAATATAGCGCTATGTTTATGTTTTTATGAAATTAAAGTGTTATATATATATATATATATATATATTTTGTTATTTAATTATGTGAATCCGTGATCGATTGATAAATTATCTAGAGGTTATGATTTTTGAGAATCACTACCAACCCCGGCACAGGCCAAATGTACGTAGCAAATGCCTTAAGTAGAAAATATGTGCGGCTCTCTCTGGCTAGTCTAACGATGAGGGAATGGAAGATGATAGACGCAGGAGGATCTCACTAATGGAACTTTTCGCGATACTTGTGTGCTGACTGTATGGGTGAATCGTCAAGAGGTACCCAAGTTCCTCACTGTTTTTACCAGACTCTGGCGCTTCACGTCACTAAATGTGTTGATTGAACATATACCGAGTGCATCTCATCCTTTCCGTTTTGCTATATCTGAGAGTAAATTGAAAGCAGCTATTTGATATGTTTGGGGGTCATCGACCTAGACAAAACAAGTAGCCTAATTTTAAAGGGCGAAATATCTCCCATCACGGTGTATAAATTGATAGAATCGGTGAGGTCACAATCTTATGTTAAGGTGTGGCGATGAATTGATTTTGAACAAGGGTTGTAGAGAGGCGATAATAGAGGTCGCCGACCGCCGACTTTCCATTTCACATTCAATTAGGCTATGTCGGGTTTGCCTATATTTGGGTGCACGTATGGATCACTAGTG